GTCATTGGATATCGCACAAGCTAGAACAATTAACGGTATGCTATGTGAATGGTGTTCGTATTGTTAACGTATGGAATGTTAATGAATGCTTATTTTGATAGTGAACTAAAAATACCACAATACTCAGGGTTGGTTTCAGACATTTTTAAATGCATTTCATAAAGCATTCCGTTTTATTATTATTAAATTATATGAAATCCAACAGTTTTAGCCAGAAAAAGCGATTGTAGTGAATTAGTACAATTTTTTGCTGCTGTAACGTCAAAGTTTCCAACTCCAACTATATTAGTTTTTTTTTGTACTACGCCTTATATATAAAACCGTTAATTATTTATATATTTTGTGACAATAGAGATTAACAATTTTTACTTTTTTCTTCTAGTGGTGTATCATTTGATAACGGCAAAAATTAACTAGGCCCTGTCCAGATTAGCCCTGGCAGCAAAAAGGAGACGTTAACTGAAATCTTTACTTTACTTTTTTTTAACAAAATTACATCTAGATAAAATAATCTACTCTACTTAAAAGGCATCAATGATTTCAAGTTTTTTTTCAAATTTGAAGAAGTTTTAAATGTGCAGGAAATATATTAATCGAAAGATCATAAATATGATCATATTCCAAAAAGTCCGTGTAGATTACACCATCATGGTAATTTTGAAATCAGAAATTCATGTGGATTCAAAATCATCATCATCATCATTTTCAGCTTATTCAACCATTTCCAATTATGATGTAGCTTCCCTCACATATTTAGATACTCTCTATGGTTGAGCCCATTGTTGGGCCCATTGTTTTGCCCTTAATTTCCAAATATTATGGTACCATCTCAAGTCTGGTCTTCCTCTAGGTCTCTTAATTCCTCGTGGGTACCATGCTGTAATTTTGTGGTCCACCTGTTGTCCGTCCTTCTTGCCAGGTGTCCTACCTATTGCTACTTGAGTGATTTGATTCTGTGGATGACATCTGTTACTTGGGCCTTTTGTCGTATCCACTTTATTCTTTTATTCGTTTACGGCCTTTCTTGGTTATTCCCAGCATATTTCGTTCCATTGAGCATTGTGCGACCTACAGTTTCCTTATGGTGTCTGTTTAAGTGTCCAAGTTTCGCATGTATTGGTCATCACCGGCAGTACACATTGATCCTTTTTCTTCTTTAAATAAAGTGACATTCTAGATTTGAATATGATTGAGTTTCTTCCATAAGTACTCCATACCAACTTAATTCTTTGTTGGTTTCTGGTAGTAGAGATCCCGAGTTGTGTATTAGTTGTCCCAAATATATGTATTCTTTTGTATTTCCAGTGCTGTGTTATTTATTAGAATGTCTTTTCTGTCTACACTTCACTGGTGTGTTGTACATTGCTTTAGTTTTTGCTTTGAACTAAAGTTCATTTTGAAACCCACTTTATTGCTGGCTGTATTCGTTAATTTGTGTTTGTAGTTCTTCAGGGCTATTGGCAATAAAGATTATGTTATCAGCGAATCTTAGATGGTTGTGATATTCTCCATCTACTTTTAGTCCCGTGTTGGTCCAGTCCAGTTGACGGAAGATTTCTTCTAGTGTTGCTGTAAACAGCTTTGGAGATATCGCGTCTCCCTGTCGTACTCTTTTGTCATTTGGGATCTCTGGGGTTGTTTTATATATCATTACTCTCGCTTTGGCTTCTTTGTATATATTGACGGGAGTTTCTGTATATGGCCAGCCAATACCATAATAATTTTGCTAGAGCTTCTATTATTGACTTATACAGGGTGAGTTTCCTACGATGTTCTCTATGGGTATCTTGGAAACTACTGGAGATAGAGAGTTGGTTAAATGGGGAAAGAATTGCAGTTTTGTGGGGTTATAAATATGCGCCTTTCAGATTTTTGAAAAAGTTCATGGCTTACTAGATATTTCGAAAAAAACAAATTTCGGTTATTTTAAAACTTGTCCCTAATTCCATTATAAGCTATTTTAGAGAAAAAGTTTTCAGATAAAAGTTGTAGATAATCACATCCTTAATGAGATTGTGTCCTCCGTTTTTTTTTTCTAAAGCCTGTCATTTTTGACATATGACACAAACATATGTTTTTTTAAATGGAAACCATAGTTGGCCATGACTTCATAAAAAGCGTCATTTTTTAAGCTTTTTAGCGATATAAGTTATTAATATGTTTTTTTCGAAAAAATACTAAGTTATAGTCAATTCTTATAATTTTTAAACAATTTCTCTTAGTTAGCCATGGAAATAAGTTTAATCGTCTTTGCTCTCAGAAATGCGAAGCTATTACATCCAAACTTTGTAAATTAAAATAAACAAAAATTGTAAATATGAATTTTTCAAATGAAGAAAAGCGTGTAGGATTATTGGTTCAACTTTTCTTGACCATACATTTTCGAGGATACGTTGATCGGTGAATGTTACGTTTTTTAAAGAACGGTTTTCAAGACATGTTAGAAAAGTGAAATTTAGTTATAGCCAATTCTTATCTTTCTTGGCTAATTTCACTTAGATTGCATGGTACTTATCACGGTATTCATGGTATTATGGATTGCATGGTATTCTTATTCTGTTATGATTTTTAACTTATAAAAAGTCAGAATATATTATTAAACGGTTCTTTACAATTTACATTACACAAACTAAAACTTAAAAAATAATATCACTACATACACTTTAAGTTATTTTAGAAAACTACACGCTTTTCTTCATTTGAAAAAATCATATTTACAATTTTTGTTTATTTTAATTTACAAAGTTTGGATGTGGCAGCTTCACATTTCTGAGAGCAGACGATTAAACTTGTTTCCATGGCTCTAACTAAGAAAAATTGTTTAAAAATTATAAGAATTGGCTATAACTCAGTAATTTTTCGAAAGACACATATTATAGCTTATATCGCTGAACAGCTTAAAGAATGACGCTTTTTATGAAGCCACTGCCAACTATGGTTTCCATTTAAAAAAAACATATGTTTGTGTCATGTGTCAAAAATGACAGGCTTTAGAAAAAAACGGAGGACACAATCTCATTAAGGATGTGATTATCTACGTTTATCTTAAAACTTTTTTGTCTAAAATAGCTTATAATGGAATTAGGGACAATTTTTAAAATAGCCGAAATTTATTTTTTTTGAGATATCTAGTAAGCCATGAACTTTTTAAAAAATCTGAAAGTCGCATATTTATAATCCCACAAAACTGCAATTCTTTCCCCATTTAACCGACTCTCTATCTCCAGTAGTTTTCGAGATACCCATAGAGAACATCGTAGGAAACTCACCCTGTATATCGAGTCGAAAGCCTTCTCAAAGTCTATAAAGACGATAGCTAGTAGAAGTTCGTATATTTTTGTTTAGCTGATAGTTTCTCTAGTGTATGTGATAAATTGTGTTGAAGCCGCTTCTAAAGTCCACTTGTTCTCGTGGTTGTGCAGAGTCTAGCTTGTTTTGTATTCTCGTTGTTTATTATTTTTGTGAATATCTTGTATGTTACTGAAAGTAGGCTTATTGGTCTATAGTTTCTGATTGTCTTCTTTGTTGCCTTTGTTATGAATTAGAATTAATTTTGGCGCCATTCCGGTTTTGCGGTATATGTTTTCTCCTTCTATCGGCGTACTTAAGTATTTCAGCTGTTATTCTGTCGTTCACTGCTGCTTTTCCATTTTTCATATCTTGAAGCGCTTTTTCTACTTCTCTTACGAGAACTTCTGGAGCGTCGTCTTATGAGAGGGGTAGTATTTCTTCTTCATGTACGTTTTCTGGGACTTTATATAGGTCGCTGTAGAATTTTGTTACCAGGCTTATTATTTTGTTTTTGTCTTTTATTCTGATGTGTGTTAATGCGATTAGCTGTTTCTTTCCGATCATGAGGGATTTCTTAGCGTTCTTATAGCTTTTTCTGTTTTCGATTGCAGTTTGTACTAGTTTTTCACTGTAGTTTTTGATGTCTTCTGCAATCTTCTTTCTCATTGTCTTACATAATTCTGTTCAGCTTATTATCTTTGTTACTTCACCCATTCAAAATATATATCTACGATTAGAATTCTTAATCATAGAATTGTTTTAATTGTCTCACATTAGAAAAAAATGTTTTAATTTAAAAACATATATTTTACAATGAGCTGTTATTATCTTTTGCTCTGAAAAAAATCTGTGAACTAGATATAAAATTTTGAACAGGATTATTTGGAATAGTGGGTAACTTTGCAAAAATAAAAGTAGATATTTTACTATCAAAATTTAGTAAAATCGTTACATTATAACAAACTATTTTTTGCATAAAAATGATTGAATTATTATTCATATCTTCTTAACGTTGTTAGTGTTGATTTTGTCTTTTAATAAATCTATTTATGTTCATTATTTTATAAGGTAGCAATAACATATTTATTTTTTATTCTGCCATGTTTTTATGTTTATTCGTTTTATGAATGAGATTTATTTTTAATGTTGTATATGATCTACAACTACTACAGTTTAAACTGAAATTATTTATATCATTTTACGGTTCATACGCTAATATTATTCTTTAATAAATATATTTTTAACAGCATTTGCATGTCTTTTGAAAGTTTCATATATATATAACTAAATTTATATTATGTAGGTATTAAGCTGTTGCATTTTTATTACGTAAATATGTACATAAATACATTTAGTACGCTATTGTATGCTCAGATTATTTTTTATAAGAATACATCATGAATGTGCAATGCAGATTTAAAGAAGGTCAACTAAACAAGATAATGTTTATACGCTATCAGAGTTAACTGAAGAAAAAATGCAGTGGAAAAAATGTTTTCGAACTTATTCTTTTATGTTATTTCCATAAACTGCTTTTTATACTTATAGTCGATATTTTTGAATTAATATATAGAATAAAACATTAATTCACTTTGCACATATCAGTTGCTCTGAATTTTACTTTACTACTTTTTACTTACAATACTTAACTTATAATATATCGTTATATATTCTAATGCTATTTTTTCTAGTTTTCAGATGACTTCCAAACGAGATAACTGTGGCCTTAGTTCCTTGATTCCCCTGTCATGTCGAGACCGTGCCGAAGCCTTCGCCAAAAGCCTACAAACGAGACTTAGTACCTTGGGATCCCAGAACGACTCGGCAGATGAAAGAAGCTGGCTCGGTAACCACGAAAAACCGTTAGCCCTGTCACAACCTTTGCACAATCCAGAAACAGACCGATACCTTGAACTAGAAGCACTCGAGTCACCTTGCAGTCCACAGGAAGAATTAGAAGAAAGCGAATTTCATAAATTATTAAACAATGATAGTTTCAAGACAGGGTTGAACGGTGATTGTCACTGTAAGAAAAACGGCGTGATTAAGCACCATTCTGTTGACAGCGACAGCGAAGTTTTTTACGATTTAGACGATGATCCGCCCACTCAGCCATATACTAACGGAATTGTCCAGTCAGAATCAAGTAAAAGTTTAGAGAGTGAAACTGGTATAGATGTGAACTCAGCTGCGACGTCCAGTAGTAATCCTAGCGACACGTTTGCCACTTCCTTAGATTGTACTCCACAGCCTTCCGTTAGCGATGACCTTTCAACATTAAGCCTCAAGGATGATTGTTCCCAGGTCGAAGATCACACAAGTAAGGAAAATGGTTGCGAGCAATGTAATAAAAATAGGGAGGATATGGGCAATGAAGAAAAGAAGACTGAATTTTTAGAAGTAAATGGTCATAATGATGAGAACTTCTCGAATGGACACGTGGAATGTTTCGTCAGTAATCTTACTGTTATAAATGAATTAGTAGTGGAATGTCGAATAAATTCAGAAGATGATGCTACTCACGAGCCTCAGATAACGGAAGTTATTGTAAGTAAAAGCGAGGCTAATGGTAATGAGGATGATGATGATGATGATAACGATGTTATACCTCGAGTTCGTAGATGTTCGTCATTAAAAACAGGCAAAACCCCACCTGGTACACCAGGTAGAAAGAAAATAGTTCGGTTTGCAGACGTGTTGGGCCTGGACCTAGCTGATGTCAGGACATTTCTAGACGAAATCCCGAAAGTTCCTAAATCGGCCTACGACGATTTGAGCGATGTGGATATCTCGGATTCTTCAGATATCCAAAACGTGAATTGCCTGAACAAATTCGTCGGTGTCTCATCCGAAAAAATCCTAGTTCCATTATTCGAACAGCCTTCCGGATTGCCTAACTTCCTGGATTTGGTCAGGGAGAATCAAGTGTGCTTGGAAAATGCCTTAGTAGATGATCCCGTTCTATTTTTGATAAGGGGAACGGTTAGAGTTAGGAATTTGGATTTCAATAAATCGGTACATATCCGTTACACGTTGGATTCGTGGAAGACATTTGCGGACGTGCAAGCTAGCTATGTTCAAAACTCGTGTGATGGTTTTTCTGATCGGTTTTCGTTCGTGATCTACGCGCACACGTTGACGGTCGGGCAGAAGTTGGAGTTTGCCTGTCGGTTTCAGTGCAAGGGTTGTCAGTATTGGGATAGCAACAAAGGACTGAACTATTGCTTCCAGTGTTTGCCAGCAGCTACCAGTTCGACGACACCAGTGCCGCATCTGAACGATTGGGGTGCCAGCTTTTATTAGTAAGTATCCTTATTTATTTATGGTTTCCTTACTTAGCTCCACACTTACATATTGGAGGAGGGGCCTTTCTTCCTTTATAGAGCGAATCCATTCATCTGTCATATTTCGTTCTTAGCCTGTGTAAAATCACCCATATCTTTTGAGTCTGCTTAACCAGGAGGTACTGCTAAAATACACCTAAATTCAGGACCTTGTGGTGGAACGTTTTCCATCCATTCATTCATTCATTATTCGTCAATATTGCCAGTGTATTAGGTGAGAGTGGTGGTTTTCTTGAGCGGAGTCTGTTAATATTTAAATTTGCTAGGTAGTTCTCGGTTTAGCAATATTTTCATGTATTCTTTATGCAAGTCTTACTTTGTCCTCAGGTTAGTGGGAGGTATATTACTTCTCTCTCCATTTTGAGACATCCACTTTGTTGACGTGGACACTATTCAACCAAATAGGCGCACAGTGTTCGGCCGTTGAGTACACAAGGCTCAAGGCTGATATTCTTCAATCAACGCTGATGCTCTTAGAGTGGATGATGATAATCTTCTGGTGGTGGCGCTGTTTTTTTATTATGCCCCCTGCCTTTTTATTATGTTGTTTGGTGTGCGTATTTTTGCAGCAAGTTTGGTGAGATGGGCCTTAGGAATGATTCTATCTTTAGTTCTATCCAACGTAACTCCTAGATATGTGGGTTGTCTGCAGTGCAAGAGGCGTTTTCTCTCAAAGTATATCGCAATTTCTCTATTTACTCGTTTATTACTGAGTTAAAAAACAAGCTTCTATTTACAGACGTTGGGTTTAAGCTGCCACAAAAACAATGGCGCTCACACCGAACCCTGCGGTAATTTTTTGTTGTTCAGTATTTTTTGTTTCATAAGTATTCTTTAAAGATATTCTTTCAAAAACTTCTTGATGTTTCCTTAGTAATTAAGATTGATAATAAAGATGAATAGACTTTCGTGAATTCTGATACCATCTTATTTGCAAGTTTAAAACTATATGTTTTCTACAGAAAGGTCTAGTTACATATACTCTTTGCAATGCTCTAAGCCCTAAGGCCTTCTTAAATAGATTTGACGAAAGTACGTTTATTCTCTATGTTTATTGTTACCTTAATCAAACTGTGAAAAATAGTCATATGAAATGTAGTCAATCAATATTTATAATTATTTATGTTTTTGTTATTTTTTTCTAATAACTGTCGACATAATATGAATTAATACTCTACAAACACTATTATGCAATTAAAACATTTTTGTTTATTTTAACAAAACCTTCAAATATATTTACGCCTAATTAACAATTCACATGTTAAGGTAGGTCGGGTTACCCACTTTGTTTATTTATCGCTTATAATATTGTCACAATCGAACTGATGATAACTGTTCTAACATATATGTAAATCCAATTAATAATGCATTTGTTTATAGATGAGGGTTAGTTATACTTGATAAAACTTTTTTTATGAGATTGAATCAATTATAAAAATGATCAGATACATCTTTTATGTAAATCAATATTTAAATTACTTAGTGTGTTCCGACATTAGAAATTATTTATAGGTTTGATAATAATATTAAATCGTAATGTCATATGAGTTAATTGTAATATACTAACTTTACAGGTGTAAAATTCTCAGATATTGTCAGTATTTGTGTTTATATTCTTCAAATTTACTTATTTAACTCCTCCTTTGTCCGAATTTGCAAGAAAATTTAAGATTTGTCTTTAAGGCATATTTAAGTTACTTTTAATACTACTTCTGTGTATTACGCTATGATTTTTACATGATACGTATTTTATAGTAAAAGGCAAAAAATCAGTGAATGTTAACAGTTTCAGTTGACAGCACACAAATTTGCTTTAATCAGATTTGTCGTAGCGTAACTGCATCTCTCTTCCGCCGAATGCGTTCTCTCTCTATCGTGTGCGCGACCGGTGCTATCCTCAAGTCTCTTCCTATATTTGTCAAACTGTACTAGTAAAAGCTCACATTCACTGATTTGCTAAAACTATATCAGTAAAAGTTTATCAACCAATTTTGAAACAAACTATTTCTAGTGAATGTCTGCATTCACTGGATTTTACTAGTCAATGCTAGCATTCAAATTCGCTTTGCTTTTCGAATGAATGTCTTCTAGCAGCTGCCCGTAACTTACCTATCATCCGGTGATTACGGTCACAGTCGATCGATACAGGAGCTGGAAATTTGGAAATTTGACGTTCAATTTGAAATCAAGACATTCGAAGCAATCAAATTTGTATTAAAATATAGAAAAAGCTAAAGAATCACAAAAAAGGGTAACCCAAGGGTATCCACCATTATCTGTTAAAACGACCATTGTTAAAAATAGATGCAGTTTTTTCTTAAATTACTTAAAATTTGCTTGTCCAAAACTCTTCAAATTTGGCATGTGCATTCAGCATGCGCAGACCTTTAAAAAACTTACTTACAACTTTGCTGTAAAATTAAAAGGGGAGCCAATATCTGGATAGTCAAAAATTTGCAAAAGATTTCCTATGTTTCCAATGACGACGCACCACCTGATATCAAATATACAGTACGTCTGTCCGCTCTGTAACTACGGGGTATCCGTGAGAGGGGAAACGATATTCTCTCGATGTTTTTCGTAAAAAAATAGACGACGCGTCCCATCAATAAAAATTCAACAAATTTGCAAGTAGCCAATAAAATGAGTAGGCGGAGAGATTTGCGGTGACGCACTCGTCAAATCGACGTAAAAAATATATTGCTGTTTATTTAAATGTTTTTCGTCCGCATTCCTTTCATAGACACAGATCCAGCAGATGTACTGTAGTTGTCGTTTCATAAACTTTAAATATGATATCTTTTATAAACTTCTGATATCTGTTTAAAATGTTAAGAGATAATCTCTGTATTAATTCTAAAATAGATATTTTTTGTTATAAAACTTGGGTGTAAAGTAACTAATGGGATGAAAATCCCAAATATATTTCAATGATTAAATGGTACAAAAGATAACTACTAAAGACATAGACATAAAAGATGTAGTTTTTTTGTTTCGATAGATATATATTTTTAGGACAGGAAATAAGAAGATCCTTACATTGCATTATACAATACTATATCTAATTATATGAAGCAATAATTTGATTTTATTGTGGGCACATGTGTTCCTTCGGGCATTGTCAAGACATTAAATCTATAAATAACTGAAACATTGTATATAACATCAAATAGGTTTTCGTTTGAAATATTTGCACTGTGATTTTAAAGACCATCATCTCACTACCGCACCGGTCTGTGTCGGATCTAATTTTAGGTTCGCCTACCTTTAGCTCGACTTTTTAACTCGTATGTAATGACCCCGTGTTTGTATTTGCGGGTACTGCTTTTAGCTTTACACACGTGATGATTAGAAATAATAAGGGAAATATGTCTGAAGCCTGGAGTTTAAGAATTTTTACCAATGATGCAGCAGTTTTGTCTCTTTTTCTCTCTTTATTTCCATCAAAATTTGTTCTCATCATCATATTCAGCTTTCAACTTTATTCTACCTTTATTCCTCTCTTGTCTATATTTCTTTTATTTATGTCTTTCGTTGTTATGTTGCTTGACTCTATTTTGTTTTTGTTTTTAATTTTGTAGCTCCACCTTAGTTCTCGCTCTGGTATTAATATGTTTTTGGTGTACATTTTTTATCAGTTCTTCTGGCTAGGTTGGTAACCTGTCCAAATAATTGCTTAATAATGTGGGAAAATTATTGTTCATTTTTTACAAGGTTTTATTTATTTTACCTGTACGTTGGGTCAAATCTTGCGAGCTGAATTAAAACCACTTTCTGACGTTCAATTGTTTGAACTGTTTCAAATTTGATATACTTTATATATGCGTATCTTCCATGATAATGCAATATTATGGTACCTTGTTCGTCGGGCATCTATAGCCTATAATAATTTTATAAAATTATTTACTTAGGAACCTAAAGTATGTACTAGGACGTATTTCAGGAAAATATTTTAACTTCTACTGGTGGTGGCTCAAAAAGGAGTGAGTGGATCCCCATGATTTTTTTAAATGCAACACCTTGTATATTATTATTTCATTTTTGGCGTCGTTTCTGATCCTTTTACATAATCCTAAAATATTATTAAATGTATGTATTTTGATAGTTTCAGAGACAATAAACAAATTAAAAAATATTATTTTTAAAGGCTTCTGGAAATTCCGGACAAGTGAACTCTGAAATCCGGACAAAATCCGGATGTCGCAAAAAAGAAACTATAAATTTATTTATGAACTTTTAAAGGGGACATTAAGAAGGGAATGCTCTAAGCATTTCTTCCATAACCGCACACTTACGTTTCGGTATTATTAAATACTTTTTATACGGGGTGCGCCTCAAAACTTGGTCACCCCTATAACTTTTTTATTTTTATGACATAAATTAGGATTGATTGACGTAGACAATTCTTTTTGGCCACTTCGTGTTTCACTGGAAATGACTAATACTTTTGATTTTTAAATGGCGCCCTTGGTATTTTTTACTTTATATTCAATGGAAATAATACCCTGAATACAATGACATATCATATGTCAACTTTTGACATTTTCGCATATGGTTTATTTGAAATTGTAGCATGCGGTTCATAACGACAATTTGACTCGAAATACCAAGTGTGTGGTACCAAATTATTCGCAAAAAAATGCATTTTCTAAATATGATAATGAGTCACCCTCGTTCCATTTGAAAAAAATGAGATATGATTAACATTGACATTTGATGACATTGACATTGACATATGATTAACATTGACACAAAATTGACATTTTTGCTTAAAACAAAATTGTATTTTAAATTTCAATCTAGAGTGCCATGGCTGTATTAAAAATACTCATTTTTAATCAAGGCGCCTTGGAAAAATAAATTTGATCGTCTAATGTTTTTAGTGACTTGTCCTGGCCGGTTAAAAGATGCCCAAATCGTATTTTTAGTCATATCTCATTTTTTTCAAATGGAACGAGGGTGGCTCATTAATATATTTGGAAAAAGCATTTTTTTACGAATAATTTGATACCACAAACTTGGATTTCGAGTCAATATTGTCGTTATGATCGGCATGTTGCAATTTCAAATAAACCATATTCGAAAGAGTCAAAAGTTGACATATGATATGTCATTCTATTCAGAGTGTCATTTTCTATCGAATAAAGTAAAAATATACTGATGGTGCTATTTAAAAATCAAAAGTTCTAGTCATTTCCCGTGAAACAGGAAGTGACCAAAAACAATTAAATACGTCAGTTAATCCTAATTTATGTCATACACTAATATAGTAAGTTTGGTTTTTTTATCTGAAAAAATAATAAAGTTATAGGGGTGAGCTACTTTTGAGACGCACCCGGTATTTTAATAATTTTAATATTATTCGTAAAATTTAATATTGCACCATATTTTATATTATATCGATATTTTAAAAAATATTTACTAAATAAGTACCAATATTGTGTTAAGGCACCTTCACCAGATTGTCATGATTTTTTGCAATAACACAAGATACAGACATTTTTTTACTGCTTGCTAATCTGTAGACATGTATCAGCTTTCAAATGAAACAAAAATTTCAAATTAACAATACCATTTTTAAATAAGCTTAATAATTAATTAATGTTAGATTTTGATTTTTTCAGGAGCTTTAAGACGCAGTGGAACGCAACCCCAACAAAACAAGATGCAGCGGAAAACCTGTTTCTGGCTTCGTAGAGAAGAGAATCAAGCTGTCAAATAGAGAAAAGTAGCCAAAATCGAAGACTGTATCCGCAATTTTGTGAGGCAATAATATGGCGCCACTATTATACAGGCGCGTTTCAAAATATTTTACGAAATTCAAAATAACAATAGAACAGAAAAAAACTAATAGTTGTATTAGAAAGAGCCACAATAACGACAAATTATTTAAATCTCGTTGTTGTTTGTCTTGTTTGTGTTGTTATCATATTTATTTTTATACTTACCAGAGTCAATAATATTAATATCCAACATATATTTTACAAGATAGTATTTTTACATTCACGACGGATTTGTAAATATAATACAACATTAATTTAAATTTCTTAATATAAATTTTATACGTCATCATTTTTTTAATATACAGGGTCTCAAAAAATAGTAATAAATACTTCGGTGGGGATTCTACAGATAAAACGAAAACAAAAAGTTCCTATGAACATATGTCCCAAAATGCTTCCCGAAGAAATTACAACCCTCGAAAAGTGAAGTTAGGTTAGGTTATATTAATAAAAATAAAATATATTATTTTTATTAATATATTTTATTTTAAAGAACATTGGTAAACCGTTTTTCTTGAAACTTGGTACTCTTACACACATTTTAATGCCAAAAGTACAAGCGAATGGCGATAGTGTAAAATTCCGTAACAGCCTTGGAAGAGTACTTTCTATTAGGGTAAAGGGTACTACTGGTGGTACTTCTTTTATCCTTATAGATACAGTAATTTCATTAAATGAAAATTAAAGCTAGACCTTTTATGAAATGGTGCTCTTCGTTGATCTCGAAACAGTGAACGGTTTTCAAGACATTTGTGTTTAAAGGTTCCGCTGCATCGATTTTATCATTAGCGAAATCACGAGATTAATTTATTTAAAATTTATTTACATTTTATCATTTCACTAATACCAAAATCGATGCTTCCTAATCTTTAAACGCAAGTATCTTGAAAACCGTTCACCTTTTCGAACTAAACGAAGAGCACCTGTTTTAGGGAAAAAAGTTCTAGCTTTTTATATCTTATATGTTGAAATTACTGTATATCTGATAATTAAAAAAAACAAATATTTAATACTTTACTATCAGAATATAAATGAAAATAAAATAAAAAGTCTTGGTCCTGACCCGGATTCGAAGTCTAAATCATCGGTTCGTGGTCTGGAACTCTACGCACTGCGCTATGGAGAGATGTTCGATTTTTATTCAATACTAGAATTTAAAGGACTAATAAAAATGTAGAATCTTCTTTCAATGCGAAGTAGGGAACGCAACGTTTACCGGCAGCCAGACGGGCCGCATGCTGTTCTAGAGAGCATAGTAAAATATATATCAAATAGCCAGACGTCTTAAAATACTTGTTTTTCCGACGTTGCTAGCTCTCGTACTATATATATGTTCATAGGACCTTTTTGTTTTATTTTTTTCTGTAGAATCACACACCAAAGTTAGATACACTATTTTTTGTCACCCTGTATAGAGACGATCCCTATAAATGGGAAATCGTAATTTTAACTGCACCATTATATAGAAATTAATATTGAATTACCCGGGCATGTATTTATAAAATTACAAATACAATCTACATATACGTAATGTTAGATGACATAATATTTATGTTCAGAACATTTAAATTCAACATGGCGAATCAATGCATTTAAGAAAACTTCAGAACAATCTGACTACTTTCCGTGCAATGACTGTCAAACGAGAGCATCCATGACGGCGACAGTTGTTATCCATGGTTGTTATCATCTGTCATTTGTGCCATTTTTTGGATATCGTCTGTCGCAATTTTCCTTGACTCATTGGACAGACCTTATCATTATATGACTTAGTTGATGTTTAAACTCAATTTTATTATATTAATTATGAAAACAGATATATATTTTTTTGAATAAAAGTCATATTAAATGGCGGTACTTTCGGAAATACCGGAAGTTGACAAGATGTTAGTTGGGGTTTGGAACCTTTGGTGTTATTTACACCAAAACACTTTTACTTTTACATTGGACGCGCGTTTCGCTAACCATATTAGCATCATCAGCAGATAATCAAGACTGTCAGTCTTGATCATAGTGTTTTATTTTGTTAAGATGTTTATTGCTATATGCCCTTATTTCTTATTTAAGATTTAAATAACCTAGAAAATATAATGAAAAATATACAGCGTGCAAAAAAATTTTACGTATGAGGTGATTGATATCAAAATTCGTCAAACTTTAGAAGAAATTCAAATATATAAAAAGTAAATCCTGGTATCCATTTAAAATAAGGTAACTGCTGTCAACTTTGAGTATTTCCAGAGGTGTTACCATATTAAATATTTTAATCAAGAAATTGCATTGTATAATATTGCACAAAGCTACAAACTAAGTATTTCTGTTCTTGAAATTCCTACTGCACGCTCTTTCAGGCACACTCTGTATATAGCATTTGATAATCATTTGTGGTAACATAATTATTTAAGGTCCTATAAAATTAATAAATTCGAAGCAATAAAATAAATGCTGTAATATTCCAGTATTATCCCCACTAAAACAATAGTTACAGTGAAAATACCTTATAATCGAAAAAAAACGGCGTCAGCGATGGGTATGAAATGAAGATAGCTGTCATTTTATATGTAAATTTATGTGGGAAATGTCATCGATCGTCATTTCCCAGCCAACTGGATGCCGTGTTTTTTTTTGATCATACGGTATATGTTTTATATAAGACGCTACTGGGTCGTTACTGAAACCAATATCTCAGTCGGATTTAGCCACTAATAAAAACACTTAGATTTTTTCTATTAGTGCAAGAAGGTGTTAACTAACAAATTTAAAATTTTGAGAAAATGAAGATATTTGTTTCATGTTTGGAACGTTATATATAGTAAGTGTAAATAACACTTTTGTAAATGCCCGTATAGGTGTCACAATTGCTATCTCGTATATTATATTACGGTTTTGCTAACATATAGAGCAAAAGTTAACACCTTGTTGGATAAAATATTTCAATTTTTGCAAATATGTTAGTTTTTCTTACTTTCTTGCACTAATAGCTTCAATTGATAATAGAATATATTCAATACTCTTTAACTGAACCGTCTATTATTTTTGATGTACAGGGTGTCCCAAATTTGAATTTTATCATTGGGATCTCGGAAACTACAAGGATACAAGGTCGGTTAAATGGGGATAAAGTTGCACAATTTGATGCTTATCAATATGCCATATCTTAAAAGTTTAAAATTTCCTAATAGTTCTGAAGATTTTTGGAAAAATGGAATATTCCATATCGATTTCATTTTTATTTTGTTATTTGTTACTACTATTTGAATAGATTTAACGAAATAAACTTCATGTTCTCCTTGCTACTTCTTTTGTCTCTTAAAATGAGGTTGTGCAATTTATTTTGTTATATCTATCTATTCAAATAATCATAAGAATGAAATCGCATATTGGTTTTTTTGCAAAAAAGTCTTTGAAATTTTTAAACTTTTTAAGTGTCATCTTGATCAGCATCGAATTAAACAACGTTACCACCGTTTACCCGACCTCGCATATCTCTAGTTTCTGAGATCCTAATGATGAGGCTCGTATTTAGGACATCATGTACAGATAAATTAAATACATAATATCAAATTTATAACTTATTTATTAAAAGGAACATTTAAAAGTGTTATTTTTTGTTGATTAATACAAATCCAATATTTGTGAAACAGTTAAGTGTGTTTTTTTTTATTGATTTTATAAATTTCTTCATGAAACCTTCTCAGATATTTATTTCTGTCCTGGATTCCAAACAGTAGTATTTTACCTTAAAAATATATAATTTAGTTTTTTAAAGTTTTGCTATATCAGCCACGAACTATTTAGATTGATCAGTTTGTAGTTTTGTAGAATCTCTTTAAATGTTATCAGTTTAATTAGTAGATCTAGAGACTAGGAAAAAAGCTAAGAAATAAAATATAAAAAAAAATAAAAAAACTAAGTATTCAGTGTAATATTTTTATTATATTTTTTGAGAACTGTTAAATTGAATAAAATATATTCGGAACATATAGACATATTTTGACTATTTCTTTGAATATATTATTTAAAGAAATACTCCTCAAGTCTTTTTAGATTAGATTGATCAGAATAACATGCATAGCTAGTCATATTGTTATTGAATTTAATGCAATGGTTCGTTCAACAGCTTCATCTATATTAAACAAAAATATTGGAAGCTGCTAGTTTTAAAAGAATCGTAAGATTTTGTCCATTTCAAAAATGTTATTTTCTATATAGACAAATATTTTAGATGGTGATGCCATACTTTTTTAGATCTCTGCTGTTCTAAGTTTAGATATTTTATTCGTTTTCAATTGGATCATGTTTAAGCTACAAACATTAATAAAGTAAGCTTGAAAAGTAATTTTCGTTATAATAGTTTTTTAGTAACATCTGAGAAATATAAAAAAAACATAAAAAATAGATAATTACTTATATGGGAGTAATTTTATAATTACTATTTATATTCTAAAGTAGAAAGAAAGTAGATAGAATAGTAGACAATAAGTTCGCTAAAAATTATTGTTGTTAATGTATGAGGTGTTCCAAATTCGACGGCGACCATGGAGATATTGAAAACCATAGAAGATAAAATTCCGTTTTACAAATTAAAAATATCCGAGTTCTTCAGAAGAAATTGGAAAAGAAAGTGTTGTAAAATGGTTTTTAATTTTTTTCTGGCTCTATATTAAAGAGATATTTTAAAGTAAATGCTACTTAACATTGTCACTTCTCAAATAAAAATTTGCCCGTGTTTAAAATAGTAAAGTTGATGATAGTTTCTCGGAAACGAAACGTTCGATTGGACATTTAACAGCACTACCAAGCTTTATAAGAGAAAATGACAAATAATGATGAAGTGGCATATATTTTAAATATATCTTTTCTAATAAAGCCATCCCAGTGGTCACACTCAAATTTGGGACACCCTATACAAGGAAATAGATAGCAATGTAAAAACATACACATATAATGAATATACATATGGAATTTATATAATAGTTTTAAATCTCTTTTGATCTTGTATGTTTATATGTATTTTGATATAAAAGGAAAGCTCTACTAAATTTTATATACAGGGTCCGGCAATAGTGCGTCGGGCATCTGTAGCTCCTAGAATCAAAAACTTGAGAATTTTGTTTAAGTGCAAACCTAAAGTATGTACCAGGATGTATTTCAGGAAAATATGTTAACTTCTATAGGGTGGCACAAAAAAGTGTGAGTGGACCTGGATAATTTTTTTTAATGGAACACCCTGTATATTATTGCATTTTTGGCTTCCTTTCAGATCATTTTACATAACCCT